ATAATGTTTTTCCCCTTGGGACGACAGATTTCTATAAAGATTGATTCTATACATGGGTCATCAAAAGTTATATCATTACGATGCTTAAAATCTAACTCAGAAGCTAAAGGCTGGCGCACACTAGAGCTATGTGCTTAGCAAAATGTCATTCGTGACTGTTGGCGTAAGGAGATAGCTCTCGTGTGCGGGCGATTTACGAACGACTTTTGTCATTCGTGCCACTTACGCCAAATATCTAACATGTTTGATAATTTCTGCCTTGCGTGCCAAAATCTTTCCGTGTGCGGCGAACGAAAGCTATCTGCTTACGGATTGTCGTAACAGCGCATGCGTAGTATACGAAAGTAAACATCCAAGATGGCGGCGCAAAATGAATTGCTGGCCGAGGCAATTTTAGAGGACAAACTTGTCGAACTTTGGCCTGAATACAAACGTTTATACGATGTGAGTTCTGCAGATTTTAGAAATAGAGACAAAAGGGAATGTGCGGTGAAAGAAATAGCCAGTAAGTTTGTCCTCTAAAATTGCCTCGGCCAGCAATTCATTTTGCGCCGCCATCTTGGATGTTTACTTTCGTATACTACGCATGCGCTGTTAAGACAATCCGTAAGCAGATAGCTTTCGTTCGCCGCACACGGAAAGATTTTGGCACGCGAGGCAGAAATTATCAAACATGTTAGATATTTGGCGTAAGTGGCACGAATGACAAAAGTCGTTCGTAAATCGCCCGCACACGAGAGCTATCTCCTTACGCCAACAGTCACGAATGACATTTTGCTAAGCACATAGCTCTAGTGTGCGCCGGCCTTAAGTAAATACCGACGCCTCCACCGGTTCTATGACTACGATGATTGTGCACAAAATTATAACCGTCTATATCACAAGTGTGTTGTGAGTTAGATAACCATGTTTCTGAGATGCCAATAACAGAAAACCTATTGTCAATATTAGCAAGCAAATTTGTCAAATTACTAAAATTACGAGTGAGGCTACGCATATTTAAATGAAGAAAAGATAAACAATGTGAATTAGTTGGTGTTATACTTGTTATCATCATCTCATTAAATTTCTGTTCTGTGTAATAATCGCATTTGAACTCATTCGTATAGAAATTAGAATCAGGGTCCAAATCGTTAGAGAGGGCTAAACTTTTGTGACAACCAGATAATAAAGGATTAAATATCATAGTATTTAAACGATCTACGTCAAAGTTTATTGGACCATTGTTAAGTTCGAACAAAACTAATTGAAACTCGTCATCATCTAGGTGACTAAATGGTAGAATATTAACGAATTCGAGACAACACAAATTAAATAAAACTTAACTGAATGTACGATCTATTCGTTTTAGTGCCGTTGGTAATCAACTTTGAAGCGTTCGAACTCTTCTAACGTCGTGAAAGCCCAAACGCGGGAAGATTGGTTTTCGTCTTTTCGTAGAAAGACTTTGCCCATCCTGGACCAGACAAATTTGAAATGATTCTCCCTCTTGAACGATTTAACTGTTTTCAACAATTCCCTGCATTTCTGTGTGAGACTTTCATTGATGTATAACTTTGAGTCTTGCTGGAAACCAAGATCTCGAGCATTTTTAAACCTGAGATTATGCTTCAGATTAAAAATTTTGTTTCGAACATTGCGACGTATCAACTTGACAATAATCGCCGGAATACGTCCGGGCGAAGCGGGAAGCCGATGGCTGATAGAGATATCACGATCGTCCAAATTAATTTCGGAATCGACCAATTCGACAACATGTTTCACAATGCTATTAGTGCCTTCGCCTGCACTCACAGGGACACCATGAATTTCAATAATATCTCTCCGCAAGTACTGTTTCAGGTTCTCCATATCAGTCTCCGCGGTTGTAACTTGGCCTTCTAGTGAGACAACGCGTTCTTGTAGTCGAACGTTTTCCACTCGAAGCGCTTTGCTTTCGTCCTTAACTTCTTCCACCGATTTAATCAAGTCATCAAATTTAGAACTAAGAAAGCATTGACTTGACTTGACTTCGTCTAGATCCTTCTTTGTCATTGTAGAATATTTCATGAATAGGTCGTTGATGTGCTCCGATTGTTGTTTCAATCGCCGATCAAGGAAGTCTTCCAAGCTTGAAGACGACGCCATATTAAGCTTGTCGTCGTCGGAGGCTGACACCACGACCACATCCTGACTCGATTTTGCATTCTTTTTCGGTGGCATTTTAGGTGTTAAACATCAAAAGATTATCAAATAACTCGTATACTATAAATTTGTTCGAGATTTAACGGAGCAGATAAAACACGTCCGCCCCAAAACAACAATTTTTAAATGGAAAACACTAAGAAGCACTTCTTACCAAGATTTGGACAAAGTTTGACTGACATTTGTACAAATTTTGCCCATACCCTTGTATAAAGATGCGTTTCTTAACATTTTCAATCTTAAATTTGTCGTTTTGGAGCTAAATTTGTACAAATTTCAGTCAAGTTTTGTCCATACCTCTGTAAGAAGTGCTTCTTAACGGTTTCCATTTAAAATTGTTGTTTTGGGGTTAAATGTTTGCTTTAGTATTTCAATTTTTCCTTGCGTGATATATTTTGAATGAGTGATGAGCTAACTTGTGGGCCCGCAGATCTGAATTTACATTAATTAAATGATCTATTGTTTGAAATAAAAAAATTAAACAAAATACGCACATGAGCAGAACGGACTTGACAGCCTCTTTAAATATGACTATGTATATTAAATATTAAATGAAATTAACATTGAGCCAACAAATCTAATATATATTCAAATCTCATTCAAAAACTCATTAATAATTCATGAAGCAATTATCCAATCTTGAGTAAGAAATTAGTCACGTGCATACGTCTTTATACCAGCTAAAGAACACTTCAACAAAAGACCATTGTTATGCAAACTATATAAAGATTTTTATATAAAGATTTTTATATAAAGATTTTTATATAAAGATTTGACTTATTATGCAAACGTTTTTGAAGTACTATTTAAAAAACGAGCTGGAGTGTTTTATTAGGTTTAAAGCCACGAGCGCGCAGCGCGAGTGGCTTTAGACCTAATAAAACACGACCCGCGAGTTTTTTTAAATGGCTTCAAAAACGTTTGCATAATAAGTCAAATCTTTATATAAAAATCTTTATATAAAAATCTTTATATAAAAATCTTTATATAAAAATCTTTATATAGTTTGCATAACAATGGTCTTTTGTTAAAGTGTTATTTAGCTGGTATAAAGACGTGTGCACGTGACTAATTTCTTACTCAAGATTGGATAATTGCTTCATGAATTATTAATGAGTTTTTATTAAAAAACTCTCAGATCGTGTTTTATTAGGTCTAAAGCCACTCGCGCTGCGCGCTCGTGGCTTTAAACCTAATAAAACACTCCTGCTGGTTTTTAAATAGTACTTCAAGACAAGCACTTACTCTTGGAGAGAGATGTATTTATTTTGTTTATCAGATTTTCCAACCGGTTAATTTCTTGTTTACCCTAAGTGTAACAAAACAATAATTAGTCGTAAGCTATCTCTGTAGATAAATATCAGATCTAGAATATATTGTGTTGAAGGGTAAATGGAAATTTTGAGTGTAAATTTTATACATTGATTTAGACCCTGGAATGCATTGGCCTACCTTCTCCTCTAAGGCAATTGCATTCCATCTTTTGTTCGATCTTACATAAAGTTCTTGCATGTCTTTGCGATATTCTAACAAACCATCAATGTCAGGCACCTTCTCTGCGGTTGTGTTGTCTGGGACGACTACAATCTGTATTAGAGATAATCACTTATACTTTGGTTATTCTTACGAATATAATATCATTGTCTATTATATTAGCCTGCGTAGCAGGCGGTAACTATTATATATACTCACCCCATCATGTAGTAGAGCTGAGGCTTTAGTGCAACGACCCTGGGATGTCAAAGAAAATTGTAATAATCATCTAAACCTACTAGTTTTAACATTTTATTGTTTAAATTGTATAAGGGGGTTCGGTAGCGCAGTCGTCAGAGCTGCAAGCGCCTTCACCTCGGAGATCGTGGGTTTGATTCTCCCACGATCGTGGGTTTGTTTTGGATGTGAAAAGAGTCTGCCAACGCTCTGCCGAAAGTCGTGGGTTTTCTCTGCATGCTCGGGTTCACCATTCGTAACTTCGTTCACTTTCAAGGGTCATTGGGACAACTGCCACGGTTTCAGGGGATAAGTCCATCGTTGGTGTTTGTTTAATCGCATTAATCTTTTTCTCCGCCCTCCCCCAATTTATGTTGCTTTCCCAACCAATCAACTTTACACATCAAATAAAACATGCACAACATTGAATACGGAAGAGAAGATACAAAATTTAGTAGAGGTGGGGGAAGTTTGTTCAAATTATAGGTATTTAAGACAGCTGCCCCAAGGCATTTGAAAATGATTGTGGGTTTTAATCTATTTAGAAATTAGAATCTGTGTTTTTTTCTTCTTTTTGAAGAACTAGATATATATATATATATATATGTTACTATATTGTCATGGATGGAAATTGGCAAAAGCTGGTGTGAACAGCGATTTATATAGGAAAAATTTAACCTCAACAGGAACAACACTGTGTCCAATCAACTTGTACGAGATCAATTTTCCGTCATCTATCTTCACTTGATAATCCATACATTTCTTCCAAAGTCTCCTAGGAAGACTGGATCGCACCCAAAACCAGGTGTAAACATTCTTCTTGACTGTACCACCATTTATGGCTTTACAATTCTGCGCGCAGTAATTTTTGGTCCCACCCACTGGACCGTAACAACCACAACACTGTCAATATAAAGACGCTTCAAATAGTATTCATTTTATTTTATCACAAGCTCGACTCGGAAATAAGTAATGTAATATATGTAAAAATAGGTCATTCAAAAATAGGTAAAGGTAGCAAGACATCACCTTTACTTTTAGTCGGGCAGTCGCATTAATATAGTGGAGCTTGGATAAATTAAAACTTATAAGTTGTTATTGTATTTGCCTTTTAAAAGTTTTTGAGTCCCACAAAAGTTAACATATACACAACTCAACGAAAACGAACGTATTGCCTCATTAATAAACAATTGGTTGAGACTTGCAAAAAAAAGCTATCCTTATTAACATAACTGAATATTCGTTCGTTTTTGTTGAGTTGTGCATGATAACCACATGGAGCTGAGAAAAACTCCAACCTTTATTAATTACCAGTTAAGCCTTTATTAGTTAGAAAAATTAAAGTGGGACTTCAATATCTGCATGTAGGAAATGGTCTGTTCTCTTAAGCATTTTATGTTGTCAGATGACCAATGGAGGTGCCAAAGAAACTTACATGTCCATTGTCACATCCAACGAAGGCAGTTGCATTGTAGTCCATGCCAGATATTTTTCCAGTGGTGCTAAAACTGTTTGGAAACGGCATAAAGTTTGATTTAAGTTGAGCAAGGAAATAGGAAATATGACGAAAGAGCGAGACGATCTATTCGTATACTGTATGTCTGGATGATTGTAAATTTATTAATTTGGGTAATAAGATGTTATTATTAAGTTCGCTAGGTTCACCACAAAGTTAGACTAACTGCAGTTTAATAATCCGTGCCATGAATATTACCTGAAACCTCCATAGTTATCTGTTTGAACTTTTATAAGATGGTAATAAGCAAATCCCCATGGGCATGGCTTTTGCAAACAAGAATTCATCATAGTCTGAAAAATACAAGTATCTACCATTCGTTGATTCTGTTCATCAATTCTACCATTCATTAATTTCACTCATTATTTAACGAGAAAGTCATGGGCGTCCTCAGGTCATTGTCTAACATCAATCCCTCCTCGATGTTTATCCTATAAATAACCTGTAACAACAGTCAATATAGCCAAGGAGATCCCCCAGGGTCTCCTCTGTACATTTATGTGTACATACCCATCCAAATTTCAACAAATGATGATGAGCGAAACCAAACTTGGAACATCGTAACTTTGTAGTGACAATTTTCTCTGTTTGTAAATCTTTGACGTACGCAATATTTCCAATCCCAGCAGACCTCTGGTCGCACCCAGCAGTTGTCATCATTAAATTCTTTAAAGGACGTTTTGACTGAAGTCTAAATGACCTGTAAGGAAAGCCATATTCAGTTACGTTTAGGTTAAAAAATGTGTCACAATTTAATTTTTCAGAAAAGAACAGTTTGCATTGTCTGATAAACTGAAACATAACTGAATTATGTAGTTCAGTAGTCAAAACTGAAAATCATTGTCATTCTGATTGCACAAGTGAGATGTCATTCTATGCATATTAGATGATGTCATTCACCTCAGAATTGTATATGATTTCTGGTGAAGGGTTGCCCATACCATATGTGTTCGTGACTACACCAGTTGGTAGATAAATCTAAACTCGTACTCGTACGCACACCACAATATACTTACCATTTTGATTGTCTCTTACCAATGGGTTACAAAAATTACATTATTTCTTGACCTTGTATGCATTCGTATTCCTTCAATACCCACCAGTGTGCCTTTGTGGCCTTGAAGTCCTCGTGTGTTGCCATTTGTACCCTGAAGTCCAGGATTGGTGCGTCACCAAGCGAGCTTGTCCAATGGGGTTCGCCGTATGGATCAACCGGCTCGTTATTGGATGGGACTGTCCACGTGACGGAGTTATTTTTTCGTCCAATCAACAGGAATCCTCCCCCGTCTGTGCTCATATCACACCATGCCTATATGATAACCAGACAAAATCAACCTCGCACCCAGGAACTTCACTTCCTGACACGTTTGCGCTTCTTTAAAAACATGCACCAATAGTTTGCAGAGTGGGCAAATGTCGAAACTCCTCAATTTTCATAACTTTTACATTACATTACCCTAATAAATGTTAAAATAGGGGGCACTCAGAGACTGCATATGCATACCTCCGCCAGCAAATTAAGTTATATGTCATGCATAAATTATACAATAAGCTAATTACGTATTTAGTGTACATTTCTCAGTGAAGCAAGACAAACTTTTGATAATTTCTCATCTAAGTTTTATCCAAATTTAATCAAAATTACATCGATTTGTCCTTGGGTTATTTTTATGAGCCGAACAAATTTTTGTATTAATAAGTTGGATATTTTTTGAGTTACACAAACACACAAACATGTACACATACAAACCCAAATATACAGCTATTTCAATTAAGGTTGTCCCCGAGCAAAGCGGAAAAGTCGAATACGAGCGCGAAAGAATGCTGAGAATCTCTAATAAATTCATTAATTTTTTAGCGATTCCCAGCAGCCTTTCGCGCTCGTATTCGACTTTTCCTCTTTACTCGTGGACAACCTTAATTGAAATAGCTGTATATAAACTCAGGTGAAAACATAATCTTTATAAGCAGGGGCAGCGTTTGTTTCATGAGGAACGTTTAATTTGAAATGGCATCTATTTGGACCTGGCGTTTATTAGATACGGGGGGGACGTTTGTTGGAGAGTTGGCTTTTGTTGGAGAGTGGGCGTTTGTTGGAGAGTAGGTGTTTATTGGATCATTTACGGTAGACTTTAAAAATTTCCTTTTTTGGATAATTTAAATGACTTTAATAAATACAAGAGTAAATATCTAACCTTGTGGACATTGGGCCCTTTCAACGTTATCCAGTAAAATCCATCTTCAGCATCTCGCAGTTTGTCCAAAATGTCAGAGCAATCATAACCAGGATTAAAAAATTCACCAACCGTGTTCTTCGAACCTTCAGAAGAAACGATTAAATGGAAATAGCAATAAAAATAAAGTTTTCCCCTTTTGGAAAAGAGATTCAATAAATTTTAAAATCTTAATACAGATTTTCTTTGTCGTTCTTGGTGTAAAATATATTAGTTGAAGTGTTTTGTTGATGGAAATTATCGAGTAGAAATTTATATATATTTGTTATATCTAACCAGGAACAGCTGCGAAAATGCAATTTGGGCGCAAAATAAAATATATTATATAATACCTTATTAAATTCTAATCATTTAATTGGCTGTTTATGGTCACTTGATATTGAATAGAAAATTCCATTTCCCAAGAGTGCAATGGAACACGTTCCATTGCACTCTCCGCGAGTGCAATGGAATAAAACGTATAGTAGCCTACAATTGCACTCTTTGTGTTTTCGATAAATCGCATCCCTCAAAATGCTTCTCATACGAATCTATTAGTCTATTTTGGTATTATATAAAACAAATAATGAATGTTTCTTCGTGCAATGGTAAGAATATTTTCATTCGGTGAAAGAT